TTTGGATTTTAATTGGGAAAAGTGTCGGCGCTCTTTGGTGACTATTTGTGTTAAAATGAACAGCTAATAAGCGTTACCCAAACAACGAAAACTCATTCTCAACCAAAATTGGAGGCTACGTAGGCCCAACAAGGAATGAGCAGTAATTTTCAGTTTTCACGAACGACTCTAACGCTTGCAAAATATGAGGGACGTGTAAAATACACTTTATGTCATGCTGAGTCACTTTCTGATAGTTTTTAAAACGTTTTACTTAACACATGCACTAGTTGCCTACATGTGCGTTTGCAATATTGTTGTTCTCATATGAATTGATTTTTTTCACGTTGAAATCTTAGGAGAGACACAAAAGTTCATTTTTGAGAATATTATTACTAGTTTAAGATTTCTGGTCTGTAAAAGAGGAGAATTGTGATAAATAGCGGGCAACTATCTAAAAGATATAAGTTCATGTTTATTTTTACTGGAAATTGATAACCTTGCGAGTGAACTTTTCTGTTACTCGCACAACGCTGAAATGGAACTTTAAGGAACCTAAGTAGGCTTAACAAAATCCTTAAGAATATTTAATCTCCATTTTCAAGGCACTTTGGTTCGCTCCAGTTTTAATTGCAGTCCGTTAACTCTTAATCGGATCATTCCAGACTGTTTCAATGGCATACAGACGACCCTCAAATGTAATCTCCACTTTCAAAGTTTTTTGTTTTCTTTAAGTTGCTAAGATATTTTTGAGGTACGTATTCTACACAATTAAAATTAATGCAAGTCTTGAGAAAACTTAGCTAGACCTTCGATTCAATAGTTGTACTTAAGTGCACTGAATCAAGTTCACGAATTTAATTAGCACAGCGAAAGATATCGAACTAAGCTTTGTAAACATATTACATTGATACACAACAGTTTGGCGTTTGAAATTAGTCTGCGACTTTTGAAATTGGGCATTGATCGGCGAATTGTAAAGTACGAGTTTACAACTTAACAATTCGGTGCCAATTTTCCTATTGCGTGAAGCAATTTATTCAATAATGAAAAAACTGAGAGCAAATAAAACCTTCCCAAACCAATTTTCTATTAAATACGTAAAGTCAATGTTTTTTTAATTTGAAAATGTGCGAGAAATGAAACGTCGGCCGTTCAACAATTGAAGGTTGCTTTTGTTTGAACGCAATCCTTAGAAGACGTATTTTGGGCGTCCTTTCACATGAAAGCAGCGCCTAATTCACCATTTAGTGACAAATTAAGCTTATTGAGTCGCCTAATCACATCGTGAGAGATAAAAGTGATAATTTGTACCAATGTCTAATCGTGATCTTTTTGTGTGCAGTTTCTATAGACAACAGTACGCTATACTTATAAAATCAATTATGTCGTTCCCTCATGGCCTTGTTAGCTTAAATCATTAGGCACTTTATTATTCTTATCATTTTAATCAAGAAGAAGATGGTGTCTTCTGCTCACTCTTTTGTTAAGGTGGATGATTTTAAGCGTCTTTGAAACAAAGCGAAATAGACAACTGGCGACGTGGAAAGAAATTAAGAAAGACAGGTATCTTTTGTCCCACCTTTAAAGACAGAAAATAACTCCTGCTTGCCGTTTCGGTAATTTCGAGTTTGTAGTTAATTCATATTGTAAAGGCGAAAACCCTTGATATTTTGAAAGCTATAGCTTGTGACGTTGTATAGCAGTGATTGTCAGGGCACAATCACGTGTTTTCCACAGGGTGAGGCCACTGAGACGGAACAAGTAGCCATGTTTGGCCGTTAGGCATGTTAGAGCGTGGGAACCAAATTATTCATTTCGGACTTAGTTATGGAACTTCATTTTACTTAGTGCTGAGAAAGGCTACTTATCGGTTAAATGAAAACAAAGGAAAAAGAAAACAAATTGGGTAGTATCAATTTGTTTTATTCAAAATCATTGAAATGAAACGTCCTTCGTGGCTGTTATTCACGAAAATAGAGTTAATAATCACAACTTGCTGTTGTCCTCTACAGTCATGATACAGATAGATAGATAATCTTTATTCACCCATGGACAATTCAAGCAATTGGAACCAGCTGAACGTCAAGATGCTTTGAAATTTTTAACCAAATAAGTACTATCATGTCGAAGATTTTTCTGGGTCTGAAAGGCATTTTTAGCAGACGCTTTCTATTTAAGCCCTCAAGCCGTTCTTAAGTCGACCACGCCGTCTACAAATAACGCTCGTAAAAGACTTCCAACAAACTCTTCAAGCCCCATTCTTGTCTCTCTGAGTAATAAAGTCCATAAAAGTTCTTAACTTTTGCTCTTCAGAAATGAAAGCGAAGAATCATATCTGAGCTCGCTCCCGCATGCACGAATGGCAATGGCCCTATTAGTTTCGCGATTTCTTTTGGGGAAAGGTTTAATCAAATTTTAAATTTTTGCCACTTTTGTCTGTGAGCTTAGGAAAAATACTAACCCAAAAAATCTTGCTAAGGAGTGCTAGCTTTGTTTTTCTCTCCGTCTTTTCGTTACAGTTTGGGCACACACATGTAAGCGAAAGTTCGCTTCTCACAATTATCACCTTTATTCAATTTCCATATTAATATTCTGAAATGATTATATTATTTTATAAAATGTTCAGAGAAGTGTGCGCCCGTGATTAGTCAGAACGAGGTCATTATATTTCCGTAAAGCACGCGCCTTACATTTCACGAGTGCACTGTTGAGATATACTGCACGCAGCCTATGTCATCGTAACGAGCGCATACATTTTATAAAAGAATTGAAAAAACTTGTTCCTCAAGCATTGTTGAGTTATATAGGCACTTGGGAATTTCTAAGAACACTTCTGCACTTCTCTCGTGTTCTTAAAAATTCTCGCGTGCTTATAGAACTCAACAATGCACTCGGCGCATTTTTATTTCTTTAATAATATTAATAATGTTAATTATAATATTGATATTATTAATATTATGTTGGCTGACCCATAAATAGACAAAGTTAGTCTAAGATAGGTCTGTAATTAGACTGAGAAAAGCTAACTCAAATATCTAAGCTCGAAAACTGCCTGACTAGATTTGATTCAGTGTTCGGAAATACTCACAGTTGAACAAAATTTATTCTCAAGAAATTGGTCGCGAATGCAAACTGTTAAATGGAAGCTCGAATATTTTATTATTATATATAACATTTTACTTCTGTTATGATTGTTTAAGTATCTCAGTAACTGCCTTCGTTTGCCAGGATGCCAAACAAAATATCATGGACTTTTGCCCTACTAAAATGTATTGGTAGGTCTCTCACGCGTGCTGGTAACCCATTCCACAGCTTGACACCCGTGCGTGCAGCCGCCGAAAACCGTGCTGGACAAGCGCGCAGCGGCCGAAAACCCAAGTTTCGAGGTGCATGCAGAACCATGATCAAACCATAATCTCATTTCACGCTTAACCAATCAAATGGCTGCAATACATTATAAGATCGAATTCTAATGATTGTCGAGGGCGACTTAAATGACTCCTAAGACTGCAGTCTTGAAGTCAATGTAAGTTTTTCATGGTAATACAGCCTGTCCCACCTACCCTTAGTAGTTTTTTTTCCCATATTGCAGCTTTTCACTCTCAAAAGTACAGGAAAATTGGAAAGAGAGAACAAAAATGTAATGTTTATGGTGCTATATTTTCGTCCCGGTGAAATAAGTCTCAAAAAGGGCTGTTATCGTTTATTTTTTATTTGTTTGTTTGTTTGTTTTTTTTATTAATCATTTGTTTATTTTTTACTTTACCATTTTGTAATTATGATACATCGGTATAAATAAAAAAGGAATGACATATAAATAAATATACATATAAATTAATGCAGCTCCAAACGGAAATAACTGTATATCGGTGAGTGAGAACCAAGACTGTATATCGGTGACTGATAACCAAGACTGTATATCGGTGACAGAGGTTTTGACAACTTGGGCGGAATTCATCATCACAGACCACAGTCAAGCTGGGGGTTGTTTCTCAGTCGAATGTTCACAAATATAGGGGACCGGTCATTATTTATCTTCTGAGGGGGGCAGGGGGGATAGGAGGGGGGGGCAGGGGTGAAGGCGACGAGGATTATGGATGTGTCACAATAAAATTTACCTGATCCCCTCACCAGGCTCTGCTGTATTCTAATGATCCCCTTCATCAGAAGTCAGTTTTCTACAGCCCCCTCCCTTTAAATTCCGAAAACGACTACTGATGCCCCTCTGTTCCCCCTGAAGCCATGTGACACCCCCCAAACAAAAAGGAAATGCCCGGACTCCACCCTACTCAGGCGAAAAATTAAGACTGCTCCCAAATTTTTTTTACCGTTTTCAGTTGAAAAGATGAATAATTTTCTAAGCTTGAAGACCCAATGTTTTAGTGTTTGAGTGATACACAATATTAATAATGCGCTTGGCTGAGTTCATCAAGCATATTTAAATTGCAATAAATATGGTTTTTCATCCATAAATATTACATATTGGGCTGGGCAGCTAGTAATTCACAATGAATAGACTCAATTGCAAAATGATCCAGTGATATAGTTTTATTTTTTATACTGATGGCTATTTTGTCTATGTGTCAGCGGTCAAACATCAGGCATGCGCAATCAGTTCAATTTTGGGCAGTTAAGCGTCAATTCATCTCGCAAAATTTCTTAGGAAAACATAAGAAACGACTGCTGTCATGCATAGTTTTCGCGGAAAAATTGAAACGTTCATAGAAATCAATGAAAGGAAAAAAAAGAAGCGAAAAGGAAAACTCGAGACTCTACGAAGACGAATCTTCTTAAATTACAGGTATCCTTTTGTTTTTAAAATTTTGTTTTGAGCTTTAACAAAAAAATTATTCTGACTCAATTGACCTAAGAGGTTGTTTGTAATTTCTGTTACACAAAGTCGTTACGACTTCCGGAAAGCATCTCATTTACCATTACAACGTTCACACAGGCACAAACGTTTGACCTTCGTCTATATTGCGTGTTTAACAAACACTTCAAGTTGCACCGCTCAAGTGCTAAGAAGGTAGCAGTTTTTTCGTCACGATACCTAGTACAACCTGCACAGTGGTCATTAAACCTGTCACCGATAAAAGCGCCTTAGTAACATTAATCCCGAATAGTCTGAAAGCAAAATAACTAGCCATCTGCACCCGGTTGATGAAGAAATCTAGCGACTCGACATTGAAATTCCCGAGAGGTCTCTCATCTGTTTGTATTATAGTGCGGTTGACCCATTCGCGGAACCTGTTGCACTGCAAGGTTACCGTAGCAGCCCAGTAGAGTGGCGACATGAAGAAGAAGAAGACCAGACAGGAGAAAAGCACCTCGCAGCCAGTGATGAGTCCGTTCATAACGAGCAACTTCGGCGCAGGAAGAGGCTGGCTCCACGAACAGTTGTAAAACACTAACCTCATCACATCACCTTGACCTTCGTCTCCCAGAATTTGCCACAATTGAAAATTGACCAGCCAGTTGACAATAAAAGTGACGATATTAGCCAATAGCCACCATTTGATTGATTCGATTTCTTCGTTCATGAAATCGCAGAGTTCGTGATACTCGACAAGAGCCTCTCGAAGTCCTTCAGACCAGTTTTTCAACTTGTCCTGGAGGTCGATGATCCTGATTTTGACAGCGGTGCACGATGCACTAAAAGCTAAGTTCATTGCTACACCTATTGCACCGCAGTAAATATACCCAAGGAAATAGATAAAGCCAATCTGAAGCCACGGAATGGGGCGAATCGACTGCGTGACATACAAGTGGATTAAAAGAACGAGATACGACAAAGTCAACATTACAAACGTCACGATCACGATCAGGCATGTTCGGCAGAAATTCGCTCGTTCGATGGCCAAACTTATGTTCCTTCTCAGTCTTTTACGATGCTTGAACCCGTAATAAGCTCCGAAATGATGCGATAGAGCAAGGCCCAAGAGTAACAAAATTGTCGGTAAGCCACTTGGTGAGGACATAATTGGGTTTTTCTGTACGCAGATCGCCAGAAAAGTTGGTGGCATCCATGTTATAACAACAATCACCAGAATAAAAATGAGCCCGAATTTTCTCCATCTTTCTCCTTGAACAAGACCCAAATATTGCATTACTTTGAATATCTGTTTTGTTCTTGTCTCACGGAGGCCAGCACTCAAAGGTCCTCTTTCGGTTTCGATAGAAAATTTTTCCGGTAGGACATGGTTTGACTTTAAGTCTTCAGTCGAACCACTCTCACTACAAACAGTGTCCATGACAGGCAACGACAGAAATACTTGCTGATTATGTTCGTTTATATGTTCAATAGACAAGGGGAAACGGAAGCAGAAACGTTAAAAATCCGTTTTTGTGGCCAATCGGGAGGCAAAAGACGGAGCCACTTCAGCGGGGAATTTTTAGAGCGCTTTCACGGATTTCAGTCGACTTCCGGTTACTCAAACCCTCACGCAATACGTGTCATAAATTTGCTGCTATTCTATCCACAGTAACTCAAACTTCCCTCTTTCCAATTGTCTTCCGGTTATTTCCGTTCTAAAGTATTTTGCTCTCAATCATTAAACGAGCTCTGTAGAGTTAAGGAAGCTTCTTTTTTCTTATTCAAAATACAGAAAAAATGCGAATTAACTAACCGTGTTGCTTTTCAGATAATTTTTGTCTTTATTTTAATTTTAGTATTTCACTTTATCTTTAATACAATGTATTTTATCATATTCGACTGCAGGTATTTGCGGTGACGCAAGTATCCTTACGTAAAAATGACTTCAAGTGTCTCCCAAAATTCAGAATAACATCTTAGAGATTATCTGAAAGGTCCTGCATATAATGACGAGGCCACAATAAAAAAAAAAAAGAAATTAAACAGTTGTCACCGATGCTCCAAAACATTGGACTGAGTTATTGCTAAATGCCGTATTTTAAAATATCCGTTAAGCTGTTCTGTGAAGTCAATTAAAGGATGTTTTTATTTTTTGCTTTGCCAATTTGTAATTATGATACATCGGTAAAAATAAAAAAGGAATGACATATAAATATATATACACATAAATGCAGCTCCAAACGGAACCAAGACTGTATATCGGTGACTGATAACCAAGACTGTATATCGGTGACAGAGGTTTTGACAACTTGGGAGGAATTCATCATCACAGACCACAGTCAAGCTGGGAGTTGTTTCTCAGTCGAATGTTCACAAATAGAGGAGACCGGTCATTATTTATCTTCTGAGGGGGGGGGGGGGGCAGGGATGAAGGCGACGAGGATTATGGATGTGTCACAATAAGATTTACCTGATCCCCTCACCAGGCTCTGCTGTATTCTAATGATCCTCTTCATCAGAAGTCAGTTTTCTATAGCCCCTCCCTTTAAATTCCGTAAAACGACTACTGATGCCCCTCTGTTCCCCCTGAACCAATGTGACCCCCCAAATAAAAAGAAATCCCCGGACTCCACCCTACTCAGGCGAAAAATTAAGACTGCTCCCAAATTTTTTTTACCGTTTTCAGTTGAGAAGATGAATAATTTTCTAAGCTTGAAGACCCAATGTTTTAGTGTTTGAGTAGTACACAATATTAATAATGCGCTTGGCTGAGTTCATCAAGCATATTTAAATTGCAATAAATATGGTTTTCCATTCATAAAGATTACATATTGGGCTGGGCAGCTAGTAATTCACAATGAATAGACTCAATTGCAAAATGATCCAGTGATCCAGTTTTATTTTTTATATTGGTAGCTATTTTGTATATATGTCAGCGGTCAAACATCAGGCATGCGCAATTACTTCGATTTTGGGCAGCTATGCGTCAATTTCTCCAACAAAATTTCTTAAGAAAACATAAGAAACGACTGCTGTCATGCATGGTTTTCGCGGAAAATTAAAACGTTCATAGAAATCAATGAAAGGAAAAAAAAGAATCGAAAAGGAAAACTCGAGAATTTACGAAGAAGAATCTTCTTAAATTACAGGTATCCTTTTGTTTTTAAAATTTTGTTTTGAGCTTTAACAAAAAAATTATTCTGACTCAATTGACTTAGGTGGTTGTTTGTAATTCCTGTTACACAAAGTCGTTACGACTTCCGGAAAGCATCTCATTTACCATTACAACGTTCACACAGGCACAAACGTTTGACCTTCTTCTATATTGCGTGTTTAACAGACTCTTCAAGTTGCACCGCTCAAGTGCTAAGAAGGTAGCAGTTTTTTCGTCACGATACCTAGTACAACCTGCACAGTGGTCATTAAACCTGTCACCGATAAAAGCACCTTGGTAACATTAATCCCGAATAGTCTGAAAGCAAAATAATTTGCCATCTGCACCCGGTTGATGAAGAAATCTAGCGACCGACATTGAAATTCCCGAGAGGTCTCTCATCTGTTTCTATTATAGTGCGGTTGACCCATTCGCGGAACCTGTTGCACTGGATGGTTACCGTAGCAGCCCAGTAGAGTGGCGACATGAAGAAGAAGAAGACCAGACAGGAGAAAAGCACCTCGCAGCCAGTGATGAGTCCGTTCATAAGGAGCAACTTCGGCGCAGGAAGAGGCTGGCTCCACGAACAGTTGTAAAACACTAACCTCACCACATCACCATGATCTTCGCCTCCTAGAATCTGCCACAAATGAAAATTGACCAGCCAGTTGACAATAAAAGTGACGATATTAGCCAATAGCCACCATTTGATTGATTCGATTTCTTCGTTCATGAAATCGCATAGTTCTTGATACTCGACAAGAGCCTCCCGAAGTCCCTCGGACCAGTTTTCGAACTTGTCCTGGAAGTCGGTGATCCTGATTTTGACAGCGGCGCACGATGCACTAAAAGCTAGATTCATTGCTACACCTATTGCACCGCAGTAAATATACCCAAGGAAATAGATAAAGCCAATCTGAAGCCACGGAATGGGGCGAATCGACTGCGTGACATACAAGTAGATTAAAAGAACGAGATACGACAAAGTCAACATTACAAACGTCACGATCACGATCAGGCATGTTCGGCAGAAATTCGCTCGTTCGATGGCCAAACTTATGTTCCTTTCCAGTCTCTTACGATGCTTGAACCCGTACAAAGCTCCGAAGTGATGCGATAGAGCAAGGCCCGAGAGTAACAAGATGGTCGGTAAGCCACTTGGTGAGGACATAGTTGGGTTTTTCTGCACGCAGATCGCCAGAAAAGTTGGTGGCATCCATGTTATAACAACAATCATCAGAATAAAAATGAGCCCGAATTTTCTCCATCTTTCTCCCTGAACAAGACCCAAATACTGCATTACTTTGAAGATCTGTTTTGTTCTTGTCTCACGGAGGCCAGCACTCAAAGGTCCTCTTTTGGTTTCGATAGAAAAATTTTCCGGCCGGACGTGGCTTGATTTCTGGTCTTCAGTCGAACCACTTTCACTATAAACAGTGTCCATGATAGGCAACGACAGGAATCCTCGTCATTGGGAATACTTTTTGATTATGTTCGTTTATATGTTTGTGGCCAATCGGGAGGAAAAAGGCGGAGCCACCTAGGCGGGGAATTTAGAGCGCTTTCACGGATATTCAGTCGACTTCTTGTAACTCAAAACCTCACGCAATACATGTCATACACTTGCTGCTATTCTTTCCACATTCTGTCTTTGATTCAATGTATTTTATCACATTCGGTTTCAGGTATTTACGGTGACGCAAATATCTTTACGTAAATATCACCCTAAGTGTCTCCCAAAATTGAGAGTAACATCTTAGAGATTATCATATGAGCTGAACGGCCCCGCATATAATGACGAAGCCACAAAAAAAAAATTGAATAGTTGTCATCGATACTCCAAAATATTGGCCTGAGTTATTGCTAGATGCAGTATTTTAAAATATCCATTAAGCTGTTCTTTGTAATCAATTAAAGGATGTTTTGTGGCTACCTCAGCATTCCCAAGAGAGACAACGTCAATAAAAATGATATCAATACTGATTCCCTTCATGTTGATTAAACAAATTGAAGCCAAGTGCCTTGTGGACACTGCTAACTCACTCAACGGCAAGCAAAGCTCAAGACCTTATTAGGAAGTGTTGGTTGATTTACTACCCATCCATAAAAAAAAGAAAGAAAATAAAATAACGTAAATGGAAACGGAAGCGGAAAAATTTTGTTGTCGTCATAGTTCCCCTCCTAGTTGTCAATCGGTGGGAAAAGGGCGGAGCTACTTAACCCTTTAACTCCCAGATCAAATTCGTAATTCTCTTTACTGTAAACCATACAATTCTTATAATGTTAGTACAGAGAAGTTAGTATTAGATCAACAAATTATCCCCAAATTAATATTTTTCTTTATTCTCATCACTCATCTGGTTGATATTTTATTGATATTGTGAGGAGAAATTGTGTCTTGGTCACTCATGGGAATTAAAGGGTTAAGTAACGTGGAATTCTATCTACGGTAACTCAAACTCCCACCTTCCTATTTCTCTTAAGTTATTTCCGGTTCTATAGAAGTTTCCTCTCGATCACCGACCGAGTTCCGAGAAGTTAGGGAAGTTTTTTTCGAATGCAAAGTACAGAAAGTGTGAAGAAACATACCACCGGTGCTCTTCTTTCCTCGTACTTAATTCTCAGTTTCATTTAAGTAAATGTATTTTACTCTATCTATGATTTAATATCGTTTATCACATCATTTCCACGCACAAATATTTCCTCCACTGTCTCCCAAGTTCGATATTCCAAAATTCAAAGCAACATTTTGTATGGATTATATTGATTTAGCAATAATTTACCACAAAATTGTAGCCTTTTGGACACTGCTAACTAACACAACGGTGAAACAAAGTCCCAAACTTTATAAGGCCATGTTGGTAAATTTATTACCTCACTGATATCTCCGTGAAAGTGAAAAAGGGGTTTCTGTGTAGCAGAGCTACACAATTAATCTGTATATCTTAGCGTGTCCGCACGTCTCAAACATAGAGTATATTTCAGCGAAGCACTGGTGTGTGTCCCCTCAGCGGGGACACACAGCAGTGCAAAGCTATCTGGGATACCCAAGTGAAAGGTGCGGTTACAAAATAATAAAAAAGTATAACTGCTTCGCAGGCTGTGCGGTAGATTTTCCTGTGGATCTAGGTCGCAAATAGTTTCTTCTAAATAACCACAATTCTAAGAACCATCCCAAGGAAGTGTCAAATACAGGTCAATAAAATGAGGAAATATCTCACGGAAGGAGGAAACCCAAAAATTATAAACTGAGGACATCATTGGAGCGCAAAGAACAGACATTTCACAACAAGTTTTTTGTTTTATTAGTAGCAGCTTTCTGTGTTTCCCCTTCTTTTTTTTCCACGACGGAACCATCAAGCTTTTTGCTTGCACTAAACTGATCTCTATATCACCTTACGATAAAAAATAGCTTGTAAAGAGACTGGGATCGAAATTGTAATGCATTCGTCCCAGGTCCCGGCTGATGGATTTTGGTGAAAAATGCACCATTGTTAAAGTCTGGGAGGAGGAGGGGGGGTGTGTCTGGGGGGAACACGTGGTTTACAGTAAGAACTGGGGGGAGATTAGTCGTCTCTAACAGAGTTTGCAGGTGGGCTATAAAAAATTGACTACCAATGAGGAAGTTTGTCCCATACCACGGCTTGTAAATGAGTCACGAGTCGTAAAACTGAGTTATCGATCCGTGCGGATCGTAATATGTATTCATAAGTCGTACGATCCGTGTTTCGTTTAATAGATAGGCGTTGCCTCTTGTTGACAGATTTATTCGATGACAAGAATCGTGATTGACATTAATTCAATAGATTGACTTAAAAGCGTTAGGTAATTATGTTTCAAGTCAGTTTTTCAGCAGAATCGAAGTGAGGAAGAAGTTATTTTGTTATCGTTTTTCTGTCTCTAAATCCGCTTACCTGGAGAATCTGCTAACCCGTAAAGTGAGACTGTTGTAACGACCCTCCACAAAAGTAAGTTTACATTGAAATTTTGTAATTTAGTTACAAGATAAAGACATGATTTGCGTTTGTTCTAATTGCGAATTATAAATGTATTTCTTTTAGATCGAATAATTATTAAAGCTTGGCTTGATATTATACGGTTTGTGGTGGTCATTTGATCTAACCAGTTCCGAGTAAGGAAACAATCCGTACGAGTCGTCTAATTTGTTCACGAGTCGTAAGGATGTGCTTTCGATCCGTGAATGTCATTAGGGAGACTTCAAATTTTTTCAACACTTGAGAGTCTTTCGGGCTTCTAGTTCTAGTGTCTTTCAGGTCATGGTGGACTTTTTCGATTCGTACCCTCCGTACGATCCTAGCAGATTGTCTAACGTATTCACGATTCGTCTAATGAATTCACAGGTCGTGCCGTCGATCCGTGAATCTCGTTAGGGATGCATGGGTTTGTCTGTTGTCATCGTAGTGTGTCGATTCTTACGATTAGTACGATACGTGCGGATCTTTTAATGTATTCACAGGGCATACTCAAGGATTCCACTAGACGATATCCTGGGCGTAACTTGATATGGAGTTGATAGCATGCAGTCCACGAGAAATTGCAATATCTTGTCAATTTTTGCAACTGAGATGGCCGGATATTAATAATTTCCGGCAGCTACGTGACGCAGTCTCTTTTGCAGACTTCAAAATCTTTACCTCACAATGTCTTATTGTCATAGATTGGTTCGCACGACAGCTGGGTTTGAGCCATTATCACCGAAGAAAGATCAGTTTAAACAACGGTCTCGGTTCGCCACAATCGTGATATGAATATATTGTTATATACTGTAAGGTTACATGTTCTTTAGAAGTCTCCAGGCTATAAATCGGCTCTCACGATCGCTGGGTTTGACTCATCAGAAAAGAGTTAAGAAACTGTAACTTAAAAAACAGCCTTAGTATTTCTCAATCGTGATATGATTATATTCTGTGAGGTAATATGTACTTTAGAAGTCTAGTAGCCATACAATGATTTCACGATCGCTGGGTTTGACCCATAAGTTAAAACAGAACAAGATTCAGTTACTGACAACAATCTTGGTTTTCCGCAATCGTGTTATGATTATATGCTCTAGTTTTATATTCTTTAGAAGTCTCCCAGCCATAGAGTGGCTCCCATGACCCTTGGGTTTGGTAAAATAAAAGACTAAAGAAATTTTCCATTAAACAACAGCCTTAGTATTCCACAATCGTGTTATGATTACATGTTGCTGGGTTACGTGGGCTTTAGAGGCCGTTACCGGCGTAATTTAAACAAAGCCAATCCGGTGTTTTGTCTTTAGTATTTCAAATTCAATCGCACAATAAAACCTCACGCCACAGACGTTGGCACGCTTTTGCTACCAGAGAACAATTCCAAACAAGTTACACGTTTTCAGACGTTGTTAATTAGATGTGTTCTTATGACAACATTGAAAGAATGTCTATAGACACTGGGTGTCTCTGAGCCTGGAGTGAATCAAAAGGCTTTGAATAGCGAGACGTTCACTAGTTTGCCTATTAGTGAAACAGAAGAGTCGCCATGACATATTCCTACTAGTCGGTAAACTTTTGCGTCGAGCTCAGATTGTTAGCACTAATTTTAAACATCATTTTTCGACAAAAGCGTCCCTTTGTCTTGCAACACGCCGTTAATCACTTAAGTTGGCTCTAACAACGATTCAAATAATTGTTATTAACTCGTAAATAATCGTTGATTGTAAAATTTTCTTCATTTGACGGCGGCATTTTTCAATACCCGTGACTTCATTCAAGGTCAAAACTCTAAAAACCACCGCTATAAATGAAGACTCCTTCACGCGACTTATGCCTAGAATAGCACAGCACGAAAAATTTCAAGCCTCGGGGTAAAACAGCGGCTTCACAAAGAACTCCGTTGTTGAAATAAAGCTTTTGTTTAGTCAGGTGGTAATGGTAAACTTGTGTATTGAGTTTCGCGAAACTGTTATTTACTCATCTGTTTATTTCGTTAAAGTTTTGTTTAATGAACTTTTAATAAGCAACACATCAACGGCGTTTACGCAATTTTCGCCGACCTGAGCTTTTAAACTCTCATTATCTTGTCTTGTGATTTCGCACTCAATAAAACAATTTGTCAGATCTTTAACATAAAGAATTCTGATAACAGACTAGGCATTGATTATCTCGTGGATAGGTAAATACGTAATTCTGTGTTTCAAACGAATAGAGCCCCATGCAGGCGAAGCTTTCAAACAATTACGAAAGCATCGCGGCCATGTATTATTCGCGGTGTTTACAAAACCTTCCAAGTGCTAACGAGTTTGCTGACGATAAACAATAGAAATGTAAAAACACGCTTATTTCACGTGGTCTCACCTATTTCACAGTTTTTATATTTTACACCGATACCTCCCTGTTCTCAGGAGCGTTTGTCTGTTTACAGAATCCCTTTTGAACTGGAGTTATCAAGTGTAGTATTATGAAAAGAATGCATTGTGGTTTCCTGGGTCTCTCGAGAACACTTCATGAGGCACTTAACCTGAAACAATGATTCTATGCCATCTATTTCAAAAACATTTCGTACTTTATTGATCCATAATGTAACAGATATACAGATATCAAAGTATGTAGATCCTTCGTGCTAATCAGATCTTAAGAATTTGTATATGTATATGATAAACGCCGAGAAATTCTGTAGCTCTCCACGCGACACGGCAAGCGTCTCGAATAGTGTGTGATGAAAAAACGTAATTTCCTGTTGCATGTGGAGTGTTGATATCTCACGCGAAAGGGCGGAAAACTAATTCAACCTAAATATCTTCCCAATCCAAAAAGATCAATTACTAATTAAAACAACACTATTTGATTCTTCTCGATTTTCATCGGGAAAGCAACTTGGTTGCGATGTTGAAACAAGGTTTTCGTTTACCTTTCTTTAAGACAGTTTTCAGACTTCGCATCCGATATACGCTTGATTCTTTATGTCAAGTTCGCTGAACGAAGTACTGTTGAGATCTGATTAAAAGTCAAGGACGTGTTAAGTTAAGATTAGTTCAAGTGAGAGTGATTATCTCTGATAATAACCTGCCTATTCCACGCGATTAAAAACCCATCATGATCATGACGTAAACACTTATTTGGTATTCGGTGAAATGCTTCATTTCATAAAACTGATAAATCATGGTCTCCTCTATAAATTTATGAACTTTACAGATAGGTTTGAGACAGGGCTTCTTTCAAATACATACACGACGGATTATCTCGTTCAATCTTGAAACGCTGTCGTCTATCATAACTGTCGGCTTTGAACCGACCCTCTCTCACGGTGTTTGATTCACTCTCAACAGAGCTTGTTTCACTATCTGACTCCTGGCCTTTCTGAAGCACCTCAAACAGGTCTCCAATGTAGCGGATTGCAAAGCGCAGTGTTTGTATTTTGGACAGTTTCTTCTCTTTAGGAGCGAAGGACGAAGGCAGGTGATACCTTAGTTCTAACATAGCGGCGCTGATACTTCTCATCCGAGAACGTTCTCGAGCATTCGCTGTCTGTCTCTGCTTGCTCAGACCAGTAAGCCGCGGCTTTCTGCGCCGTTTTTTCTTTCTATTTACTCCTGCTTTGCTTTGCGCTTGTAACTTCTCAACAGCCATGTTTGGTCAGTAGAATTCTTGCCTTACGGTGTGGATTATTGGCGAGACTCTCGTAATATTGACCAACAGCGTTAGACCGATCTCTGCTTACTGAAATATGGCTTCCTCTTCCGCGTGTTAGCAAAAGTCTTTTCTTTGGCGCGCTAACCAGGGACTACTAGTTGAACAAATCCAATCGTGTGATCAGTTCTAATAGGAAAAACTTTCCAAGAAGCGCTTGGAATGTAATGGAAACGGGAAGTGGGCCAATTTAAACGAGTCGGAGTTAGGTTTACCTGAACGTATAAAGTTGCAGTGGCGCTCGTGTTTTCAACTGTGAAATCAACTTCTCTTTAATCAAATAAACCCCGACAGATAAATTAGAGGTTTGCTCTCCAATCAACCGTCGCATCAAACTGACCAGCACATAGACAAAGAGTGATCAACATCATGTAGCGTATTTATTTCAACAATTGCACAAAATCACTGCAGGAGAGGAGCATTTTTTGGCTCCTAAAGAAGCTTCAACCTAGGTGGCCGGAAAAAGCTGTTCTACCACTCTTTGTTTAACCTTTCAGATGCGCATAAGGCATTTCAAGATCTTTGTCTCTCTGCAGACTTCGAAACAAAGCACTTGCTGTCACTAATAAACTAAGATATCAAACTTGTAAACGAGAACAAACTACTGACCTGGAAAAAATTTTAACTCTATGAAGACAATTTAATTCACGCTAATGACAAATGCGCAGTGTTGAAACACCGAGTATTTCCAAGTTACGAATAGCATATCAAAATCTTTACTGCCTTAAGATGAAGTTACAATAGGTTTCTAAAGGGAAAAAGTTCATGGTAGCATTCCTACTAGAAGGTTTCTAAGACGTTTTGCCTCCAGGGTCACTCGGCAATTAGGCTTCAGATAAAGAAATTCTTTCCGCCGAACTAAGCATTACACAATGTGGCTTCTACCATGAGACAATGAGCTACCTAGGGGAGCCTGACGCGATGTTTGTTTTATCTTGGTGTTTTATCAAAATAAAACAGTTATCTCACTTCTGATCATGGTCGAAGTTATGACCACGAGGTACTGTGTCCACCGACTCCAATTTGAGCATCTGCCTCCGATCAAATATGCATGGGACATGATGATTTATCACCTTCCTTTCATGCGGTAACCAATCCTTTACAATTAAGCTGTTGGCAAATTACTTTGGGTTATTGCATAATAACTGACGCTCTCTAAAAATAGCCCATCGAAGAATTTGCATCATTACTGGGCAGAACTGTTACCGGCAACCTCTACACTGTCCTCGTCATAGACGGTTAGGCAAACGAGCGTGAATGAATGTCTGAACGAGAGCAGGTGAGCGATTAAAACGTGGCTGTCGGAAAAACAGAGGGCAAGGATTCGCACTCTCTCACAGGTCTTTAATCCTACTTTGCTGTTTATGAATTTCATTCATAACAATTCATCAGCCAAAGTTTTGATATCAAGCTCCTATTGGCGTTGTTTGGTAAACTCCTAGTCTACATTATTTGTTAGTTTTATTTTCATTTTGTTCTTGTCTTGTGTGTGTTTGTGTATATGTGAACATTTTCTTCACTTGCTACGCAGTTTTATCTTTTCTATTTCTGGTTCGGTTAGAAGGCCTCTGACGCCCGAGTTCCTTCTACGGCTGTCTTTCTCTTGTCTAAGGCGCATTTTCAATTTCTTACTCGTGTTTTTCTTTTTTTCATATTCACTGTGTACCGAATAAAAAGTAAGACAGAGTGATGTAACCAACTTTTATCCGGACCTACCACGGCCAAACAGCGCGGCACACTTTCTTTCAGAGAAATAGGGGACTTAAACAAAGGAGAACAAATTAGTAAAAGATGACACAAAACGGAAATCTTTAATATGCGACGGCCATGTCGAGAGCCTAGAATTAGGTGTTGTTCTTGCCCGTCTACCTTCGCAGCTAACACGAGTTTGGAGTGGTATTAACATAGCTTTTTTTATTCACGGGGACTAAGGTTGGCCTGGAAAAAGTCAGTCGGCTCTCCTCTAAGTTTCTCTCACTTCTTAAGTTTCAAAACGTCTGGAAAGCATAGCCATTTTAATGCACAAAGGAGTATCGTACATAATTAACGATGGACAACAAATACATTTTATTTCACATCAAATTATTTCATCAACTAAACGAATAACTCATTAGAAAAATAATCAAATAGATAAATATTTACAGTAGTGAATAACAGACAGAATGTTAGTTATTCCAGGACGTAAATCACTAACATCTGCACCAGAATAAATAGTTTAATGTCTTCTCCACATCTTATTTAAGACTTCAAAATAAGCGAACAGCAAACACTTCAGCTGATTACAAGAGAGTGGGCAATTTTATTCACACTGGATCTACAACTTGATGCGCTGAAGTTGAACTTTCTAACATCGAGGAATTTTCATTCGTTTCTTGTGTTTCAGTATCGTCAACTCCGGCCGGATTGGCTATCAAACTTGTGTCTTCGTTACTTTCTCTAAAAAGACAACAACAGACAGAGAGAAAGTCGTTAATGATTAACTAACTAAATAAATGAATAAATAAATAAAAAATAGAGACAGACAGATGTATTAATAAAATACCGAAAAAGGATTGAATGAAGTTTTTTTTATCTCAAACACCATAACTCTCCACGTTCCCATTATTGAAAGCTTGGGGAGCACATCACCAGAAGTGAACTTATTGATAGTATATTGCTGTAATTCTATCCTAGATACCTAGAAGGTCAATTTTCAGTAGATGTATAGGATTTCTTACTACTGTAGGTGGATCAACGTATTTATCAACTATATGTACCACTTCTTTATTAACACATCAGTATAACAAAACATCAGACAAAGAATATCTCATAAACACACAAGGATAACTTACACACGTGGTTTGTCCTCCGAAGGCAGAGTAGGAGTTGGGCGATCCTCACTGAAGGGTGTGTCTGGAGAAAATTTCAAACGAACCAAACAATCTCGTCAGGCTGATAGTCGTCACTTATAACACTGAAGATATGGGAGAGTGTCAGGGCTATATTAGAAAAAAGTGCCTTGAAGGTTCAATGTTTTCAAGGCGTTTTGGACTCGGACATGACGGAGTGCATTAAAAAGAAAAATTATTTTGTAAATAGACTGAGAAAGATGGTAAGTTTCGAGCTCGGTAAAGAAATGCAGAAAGGTGACTTTCGTCTTGTCACGAGCGTGTGACAGAAGAAAAAATTCTGAGTTCCCATGGGGAATTGAACCTCAGACCTCCAATTCCGCGTTTCGATGCTCTACCACTGAGCCACAGAGACTCTACGGTGAGCGCGGTCTATTACGAAATTCTTAAGCATACTGCTAGGATTAGCAATGTCGATAGCCTCATGTTTGTAAATAGAATGAGAAAGATGTTGAGTTTTGAGCTCAGTAAAGAAATAGACAAAGATGTTTTTAGTCTTATCACGAGCGTGGGACAAAGGAAAAATTGTTTTTTGTCCCCTTTCATAGTCCCAAAACGAAAATGCAGCAAAGTCTATTGTGTGCAATGTTTGGTTAGTCCATTTCCATCAACAGCCGAACATCTTTTGCTGTCAAATAATTAAACCGCCCATCTCAAATATACGTCTTTCAGTGATGTGCGACGGCGATGTCCTACAATAACGCATGCGCAACTTATAAAACTAGAAATGCAAAGATTTGCAACCGGAAACATCATAGCCCTTTATGTCTGCAGAAATCTGAGACCATCTTAGAGAGCGGCTTACTAGGTTGTCAATCAAATCAAAGGTAAGTGTTTTTATATTGCTCGCCCATATCATCCTTGATCCGGAAAAATCTAACGCGTGTAATCGTACGTTGTAGTTTTGAAATGCGCTCATCTTAACTTTATTAAAATAAATACAATCTTAGTGCAAAGATTTCTTGGGCTAGTACCACAGATTAAGGGCTCAGAACAGGCTGGAGTACTTTGGCTGACACAAGTATTTGTTTTTTCAAGCGTTTAATCTTGCTTTGTTGAATTTGTTTTCTGTTTTCACGGAGGGATCATGTTTAGCAGATAATTGAGCCCAACCAGAACCGTAGTTCCCAGACAAAGGATCGCAGTAAAAGAGATATTAGAGAAGTCTACAGAATGAAATATCCGTCATGTTTTGGAGTTTTCATAAAGCTCATAGGAAGGGGTTTAGAGGCACCTCTCCTATAAGGACTCTACCGTTCAAGGTGCCCTTTTTCTAGTCCTGAGGGGCACCCTTGAGTTAAGGCCCACCTATATTGGTCCTTACCTGCAGCTGGTCTGTCAGCTGTGTTGAAGGGTACTGTGTGCTTAGTCTTATCAGGCTGTACCTTTTCAAAATCAAACAAGACACGAAATTAAATCGTTTGCCATTTGAAAACGACGCAGACCTAATTATGGGAGGTAAAACATTACTTGCAGGCCAACATTGAGGAGGCCGTAGGAGGCAACAGGTGTCCCAACAAATGTGTTTTAGGGAGTAAACAGAGTATGACGATGGTTGTCGACTTTGCCCCAAGGGTTTTTCGCCAGGTTCTCCCGCATTTCACCTTTCTTCAATTATTAACAATGATTCCACATTATACAGTGAAGGAACAGCCATATCTGGGACAACTTTCGGTGAAATTCGACCTTTGTCCAAGGATAGGGCTATCACTCGATCAACTCAAACTTATATATATATATATATATATTTATATATTTTTTTTTTTTTCAATCGATGCTCATAATTTAAATCCATAAAAATATATTAATTTGGATTGTAAATATTCTAACTCACCAAGGTTCTATATGGTCTTCCAGCTGCGTAATCTTTCCTATCCGTGACGATAACTGCAGGACCGTCACTCTAAAAAAAATAAAATAATAACATAAGATTGAATGAAGGGAAGTGGGGGTGGGCTGGAGCGTTGTTGTCGTACTGAATAATTATTGAGTGATCACACCCCACCCCTCCCGTGTGAGTATCATGCCATAGCTAAATACATGTAGCTAAAGGTTATAAACTGAGTTCGCTATTCTTAATCTGTAGTAATCTTCTCATCCACAGCTGGGTTCCCTGTGAACTTGAAACGAGCCACATAATAAACATACCGCGTACACCACAGCAGCATGCTGGAGTCTGGCCGCTTGTCGTTGAAGGGAAGTTCTCAGGAAACTTTCGTCCTTCAGTGCATGTAACCTAATACCAGAATTTCGGATGTTAAACATTCACATTTTTTCAGCTTCTCAGTGCTGAACGAATTAGGAACAATAGTACAAAGACATGTTTGCCTCATTCAAAGACGGTGGAGTACACGTAAGGAACTGTTGTTGACTAAAACGGACTCACGTTTGTTGCAAAATGGTTACTTTCATTTCCCATGTTCTGTTCACTCTATCCAGTTCTTTCTGCAACCTAAAAATATAAATGGAAAGAGAAAGAGAATTATCTAAGCATAGCCAGTCAGTCAGTCTCTCACTGAAGCAAATCCGTAGTAAAACTCGTGCAGCTTCCTGCCAGGCTGTCATAGAGGTTGTGTCAAAAGACAGGCAAAATAGAAGCTGGCCTTCCAGCCAGGCACAACCTTGCTTGAAAAGCAACTTTGAAAGACACGGATAAAATTACGTTCGGTCACTTTCGAATTTTCTGACCCGTTTATAAGCGGATCACTTCAAAAACCTCACCTTAGAATCTCAGCTTTCTGTTTCTTCTCAAGTTTTTGTAATTTTCTCAACAAGTCATCTTTCTCAGACTCATTTAGTTGCGGCTTCTCCTGTAGCAAGAGAAATTATGAAAGCCAATAAATTATGTAAAAATTACTTGGAAAAAAGAGTGAATCTCGCAAGTTTTTTGCGCAGTGAGCAGAAGAATGAAGTAAGTCACTAAAGTTCAAAATTGATGTACTATATCTTGTTCTTCAAGAAGTGGGAACCATGCAGGTTTTACTTGCGGTAATTCAAAAGAAAGCAAGAAAGCCTGGATATTATCACGAGTACGTGTCCTAAAACTAAAATCAGACCCTCCCTCTGCCCCCTCTTCTCAAATACCCAATATAAAAATAACAGAAAACATGTAAGAAAACAGATTAATCAGAGAAGATTTTTGTTATCAGTGCAGAGATTAGGAAAGAAGTTCCAGAATGCAAGATGAACCAACGATCACATGATCGTTGTTCTGCATAATCGTGGAATGCAAGATAAGAGCTCCAAGATGGTACAAATTCGCTTCCCACTTAAAACAGGAAGTTTTGTCATTCATTTAACTGTAAACTTTTCACTCGACGAATCAATCATTATGCCACAAAATTCTGAGAGTTGTCAGATTTAAAACAAAATCTTATGTTGCACATAATTCAAGGACATAGCAACACTTAAAAATAATATTTACTGGGCCAAAAAATGTTCGGAAAGTGAAGAAACCCCTCTTTAGTCAGCAAATTCAGTTTTCATTTACCAGGTATAATCCGTATCGCGTTTGGGAATCGTTTTATTGTTCACTTGAATAGCTTTTACATATCGGGTCTCCTTTTAAAGGCTTTTCAAAAGCTCAAAAGTCTATTGAATCGAGATGGAACCATCTTTAAAATTATGAAAACTGACTTTTTTCAATATCGATACAATTTGTTTATTCAAAAGCGTTGAATTCATTTCATTGCATATGCATTTCACTCGAGGCTTATGACAATGAATCAACAAAACTCTGTGCATTAAAAAAAATGGACTCAACCTTCCGCAGTCGATTGTTTCTCAGATCTCTTACCCGTTGCCCCTCACCCGGCCTTACCATTCGCCTGAGCCTGGACACCAAGACGCCTGGCTCATAATGGACAACTGGGACCCGCTCAGTAAGTGGTCGTCCGATGACAGTGGTGCTTTCAGATGGTGCAAGAGTGGTGGACTTTTGGTGCAGGCACGTATGAGGTAATAAATGAAGTACAGTGCATTGTGCAGGTTAGTTGAGCAAACTTATGAATGTAACTGAACGTCTGGATCGATACTGACACACTACCTCATGGGATACTTCTGCCTGACTCGCTATGCGCCCAGCTGAAACTAACAGATAGTCTCGGCCCGAAAAACTACACTTTCTTCCTTCTGACAGCTGACTCACTCGTGTACACCATACCGGTACCTCGTCATGGTCATTTTGTGCGACATTAGTTGAGCAACTTTATCAACAGCGTCCATTGCTTTCAAAATCGAGTATCCTTCCGCAAAATTAATCGTTATTTTGAGCTCATAAGAGTCTATCGAAATCGGACTGGAACGGAAAAACCATCTTGAAAATCAAAAACCAATCGCGGCCAAACCGGACGGGAACTTTGCAGTCAATCGCAGAGAAAATCTTTCTATCTCGAATTTGTTTGACGACGTCATAAGCGTCCACATAGGATTACGAAGCTACTAGTTATGTTATAAGATTCACGTAACGCACAGTCTATATTTCAAGTAATTTGCCGCATGAAATGTGCAAATCAATGCCTTTCGACAAGAGTCCAAAAGTCATGACGCACCAAAGAAAAGTTGAAAACTTTACATGATGAAAAAAGAACATCCCCTCTTGGTCGAAAACAAGAGCCTCATATTACCCTGAAAAAACCTTACATTTTACAAATGTAAAACCAATAAGAAAAGTAATCTTATCATGATCTTCCGCTTTGCTTACAGGAAATGCCTTCAAAAAGTTTAATATCTCCAGCATAATATACTGTTCAATAATTTTTATTTACTTCACAACGTAACTGTATCCAGAATAATGAAAAAAAAAAAAAAAAAAAAAAAAACCACCAAACTGGATCTTCTCTGTGAATCCGATAAAACAGAAAATCTGTCAGACACGCTCGGCCCTTAGTTTCCGATAGACTTAAAATCAAATCTAGATAGACTGGTAACGACACTCTTTCACCCTGTAGCATAGCTCAGGTCAGGTCAGCGGTCACTAAACAAGATTTTTTAAAGCTTCGAGCGAAAGAGACTAAAAGTTTCATTTTTTTCTTCATATTTTTCCAACTTCTTAGTTACTTCATGTGAGTGTTACTGTATTAATGTCTTCTGGTAAGAGAGGAAACGAAAAACAGCCCAACGATACACCGGAAGATTTCGAAACGTTTGTGCGAGAATCGCTTGCCCAATTGAGCGAAGGTCAAAATAAGATTCTTCAGTATATCACTTCTTTAAAACCCAAATTCTAACTCAACGAAGCTTCCTTGAACGATATCTCCGGACAACTTACGACTCTCAACATAGCTCGCCTAAATGTACATACCTACCTAAACGTTTAACCTGTACTAAGTGATTCTAATACCTGTGGAAAAATTTCAAATCGGGTGATAAACCCTTTTTCTACAGGATCCTTAGACAAACATTACATACCTTAGTTTGCTGGCTCTCCATCAGCTTTCTCTTCTCATCTATAATTTTTTGTTCTTTAATCTTCTGATCATGTGCTCGCTGCAGCTCCTCGACTTGTTTCCTCGAAGCTGCCATTAACTGACAGAAAGTAAAAGTTAGAGACGACTTAAGATGGAATTTTAACGAAATAGAGAAGGCAGTGGATGTGGAAACATTGGATTTGGATTGAGCTTAAAAATGGCTGAGCAGTTGAAGTTAAAACTGAGTGATGATGTATAAATAGAGGAAGCAACTGACTTCGATCAAGAAATGGACTCAGGAAACGCAAAATTGAGTTTGGAAAAGTCTCAAAAGTAATGGAAAGAGTATCACCAGTTGTACAAAATATGGTAAACACGTGGAGCACCAGGCCAGGCCAGGCCAAGCCGTCTAACAAAGATATACCGCCCAGCGAAGACTTGTGCATACATGCACCTGACCATTTTATTATCGTAAAGCTTGATACATGTATGTTGAAAAAATGAACGCATTTGATTAGCAGAACAGTTTGAGAGGAATAACATACATTTGTTTTCGTCTCCTGCAGTTTATTGTCCATCTCTCTTTCTAGCTGTGCCCTTTGACTTTGTAGCTGCACAAAGGAACACAAACGTAAAAAGTTTAAGTTTACTCCCACTCCAAACTCGCTGCAAAACATCGCTCATTATCTAAACAATGTTTGTTGCGACACGCTTCCCCGTTAAATTCTGTGAAGTACTAAGAAGTTTTAGTGAATTAGATTTTTCATTTGATCAGACATAGATTCCTTAAAAAAAATTCGCGATTTACCTTATCTCTACATGACGGAAAATTCAAATTTTCTTTATTTAAAATACTGAAAACTCGCTGCAAAACAACGCTCTTACTGAGAAGTTTTAGGGGATTAGATTTTTAATTTGATCAGAGATAGATTTCTCAAAAAAAAACAAAACAAAACAAAACAAAACGCAATTTATTGCGTCTACATGACAGAAAATTTAAAATTCCTTTATCTAAAATGCTGAAAATTAAGTTTATTTATTTCACTTAAAGCTCACATTTACCGAGAAGAAACAGTTTCGATTGAGCGTTGTATTCGACTCAAATGAAAAACATTGGAAGGTTCAAGAGTAAAATAATTACAGATTAATTCTACTGACCAGAAAATGCTTTGATTTCATTGGAAAATGAAAATTGGACTTTTCAAAGCTGAGAAACTTTATCTTGAAATAGGTTTGATCGAAGTTAAACGTGGTATTTTTAATCAGAATCATATTAATATTAAACCAGTCACTGCTAATTCATTTAAACTGCCCTTCGTATAATGTAATGGAAGCTACCAAAATAGAAACAACCTTTCAATTTGTATAACTTAACGGCTTTTATATACAAGTGCCGAGTTTATCTGTATTAGGAATATCTTCATATTTATTGCTGTTATTTCTTACAAGAAAGAACACGGTAGTTTGATCCACAGTTTTGACCTCTTCATTTTGCTGGTTAGAAGAATCTTGATCAATAGAATTTTTATGCTGAGAAGAAAACATGGATAGTGAAAAGTAAAATTGTAGACCTCTACAAAGACTACATATATGCAACCATCAAAACATGCAGTCCTCCATGATTATGTTTATCTGTAAACGTGCTTGAAATATCAAGTTTAGCTTCAAAGAATTGAGAACACTTTCATTCTGATAGCAGTTGCAGGTCAGCCCGATAAAAATACCCCCCCCCCAAAAAAAAACTTTATGAGTTTTAGAGATTTTATGTTTAATGTGTATACATATCTGTAGGAATTTTTCGATATATCAATTGATTATGCAGTAACTGGAGTTAAAGTTGTAATTAACAAGAATTCTTGTAATATGTTGTTATGGAAATACTAGAGGGCTATTAACAAATCATTGGTTAAGACTGAAACTAAAACACACTCCTAATTTGGGCCTTCCATGAAAAAGTGTCTGGAAACTAACCTCAGCTTTGAAGTTGTTTCGTTCATGTTCAGCTGCGAGCAGAGCATCGGAAAGATCTTTCTTCAACTGGTAAAAACATCGTGATCACACCGGGAAACGAAATAAATGACATGATAAGTAATCACACGGTGCAGTGTTAATTTTCCAAAACAGATATATCTTGTTACAGTTTACATGATAAGTTGAATTATTCACACGTTTTGATTGCTTCCTTATTCATGATCTAGAGGAAGACCGACACATAGATGACATCAACATTTTTATCTTGTAAAATAAATAGATTTCATGTTGCCGTGGGTCTGTACAGTAATAGATCACATCAGACATTTTGACGTCATCTGTGACCTATTACTGAACAGAAACATGGCATCATGGGATCTATTTGCTCAAGGAACATGGTAAAACACGTATCTTCGTGATCGAGAGGTCTGGCCAATAGCCTTGATGATTGTGTTGTGTTTCTTAGGCGAGACAATCAATCTTGTACAGTTATTCTCTTCATCCGGGAGCGAAAAGACGAGCTAAGCAAACTTTTAAGGAGTTTTAGTAAATTACTGAGAACTCGATCCAAGAGGACTAAAACAACAAAAATAATCTAATGACAACTCAACCATCTACAACATATAAATCATTTCAATCACCTGTTGGATTTGCTGTCGATCACCTCTTAGTTGTTCATTTAAATCGTCAATATCAGTTGCTGAAAAGAAAATAACACCATCAGAGATGTTTACACACAGATGTGTTATACTATGAATACTCAGATTTTACAAGCTGTGAAAAAAAATGGAAAAAATAATGAGATCTTGTACATAATACACATATCATAAGGCCCCATTGAAAACTGTTAGGGTGGTTCCTGAGTTACCTCTTAAATTTTTGATAATGTAATGAATGACCATCGTAAAGAGTTTCGAATGCTGACGTTCCCGGAGCGTTTGCCCTTCGTCGGAGCGAAGATACCCCTATACTCGCATGTCAATACTAGTATGCGTAATTAGTCAAATACGCACACTATGCGCGTTTAACGCGCATACTTTGGTCCCCTTATCTTAGAGCAGCACTATGATTGTGAATATACTTCTTCGACTGTCAAACTCACCTAAACGCCTGTTTTCAGTTTCTTTGTCATCTAGCTGATTCATCAAATCATCCACTTTATTTTCTAGTTTTTCAACTTCCTCTCGCAGCTCATAAATCTCAGGATTTGTAGCAACACTACTTGCTGATTTGGGTCTGTTGAGTGCATCCTGCAGTTCTCTATCTGCTCTTTCCTGTACATCTCTCATCTGCATCTTCATCATCTCTATGATGGAGTCCTGCTGTTGTTTAGCTTTTTTCTTTTCTTCATCATCGTCTTGGACTTTTCTGAGCTTTTTTCCGAAAACTTCGCTTTGTCTTGCTTGCTCTTCTTTGCATAATACTCCTACATTGGGAGTATACAATAAAAAGGTGAGTTTAAGTGTATACTGGTACCAAGTGGACCACTTAGTTAGTGCTTCTCCCGGTTTCCTTGGCATGAACAACTAAGAGTAACATGAGATGATCTGGATGAGATGCTACTCCACCACAAGATTACCCGCAGCATTTCATCAGGCTTCCCTGATAATTCGCCAATATCCATTTATACTCTTGGGCCCAGTTGTTCAAAGGGAGTATAACACTATCCAACGGTTAAATTGCTATCCGGAAGTGTTGTGAATACTTGTACATACTGCACTATCAACCAGATAGAGATATACATGTATCCAGTGGATAGCGTTGTCCACCCTTCAAATAGATGAGGCTTGGATGAAGAAAGGCACTATGAAAGTAAAGTGTTTTGCCCTAAAAGACAAAACATAGACCAGACCACTGCATCTCCCACAAGTAATACCATAAAAGGAGTGTCATATGCATCGTTCAAATAACCCTGCACCTGACTCCAAAAAGTTGCAGTTACTAGTATGGAACATTATTTAAACTGAGCCTAAAACATGCTCCCCTGACAAGAACTAAAGTAGTCTGAGAGCAAAGGTTTCATCAGGTCCATCAAAATATCATGTTATATCAAATGGACTGAGCTACAATAGTTGTCATGAAATGAAGAAGTAGTATCTTAAAGTACAGCTGAGGTTTGGAGATTGCATTCTTTGCACTTGTCACGATGACAGCAAAAGACAAATCTCTACCTGGTGTTGGCTGGAGATTTGGGTTATAGCATCAGCAAGCTGCTGACGATAGCTTCTTCTGATAACATTAACACGCTAAGAAAAAGAGAAAAAAAGAGAAATGATCACAACAAACTAAAATACTTAATAATCTAATTATGGAATTGAGATTTCTTTTGTGTGATAGTTGATGAGGGCAAAGCCTCATTGGGTCTGTCACTGTGCTCACAATATATCATATGCTCAAAACCTCAGTGGGTCTGTCAGTGTGCTCACAATATATCATATACTGAATCATACACACATTTTGATTGATTCTTGTTTGTGATCTATTGGGGGACAGATGTATACATGTAAATGATGTCACCAGTGACAAGTATTGTTAGATAAAACAAGCACTTTAGTTTCCATGTTGCCAATTGGGTCTGTGCACTAATAGATCACTGACAGAAGATGTCAAAATGAGGAAAGAGCATCACTGGCATGCTCAGATGAGCTGCATGTGCCACTTATTTAGTACAGTATTTTGATTTTAACTGTGATCTAAAATACTACTGAAAAGATGCATGACAATTAACATGGAATCTATTATTTGAATAGATCACCAGTAGCACAAGCCATAGAATTGGACCATTTGTGACAGAACCCTAGTCATTTTATGCAGATTTATACTGACCAACGCCAGTTCCTTTTTTGCAATGTGGATTCCTTTTCACACTAATTAACTTACATCTTCATGCTGTTTCTCCAGTTCCAAGATTCTGTCATTGACTCTACAATATCTGCAAGAGGAACACATCACAAACTTTACAATGCACCCTCTTAAGTCCCACACAAATCTTATATCAGAAAAATACAAAACAGGATAAAAACTGAGAGAAAAGAAAATCTCTCTTAAAGCAGTGTTTCTGATTTCATTCACTTAATGGATTGCATATAAAAGTGAGAGGCATAAAACAACAATAACAATCAGTGTTCAAGTCAACAACAACGACAACAACAACAGCAACAACAATTACAAAATCCTGACATCTGACATGTCAGATGATCATGCCATCTGCACCTTCATCAGACTGGGCTCATTAATAGTTTCAGCTTCACAAAAGAAAAGGCTTAACAAACTCCTAATCTTACAACACTCTCTCTGTATGACTGTACCCATACTAACTTAAACCCTAGAGTGTCGAAAGCCAATACTTACAAGTCCAAAGCTCTCTCTTGCAGTTTATTCTCATAATCTGCTTGAAGAACATGTTTAGCATAATGCAAACTCCTTTTCAAATTCTCAATGTCCTTCAAAGGAAACAAGTAAATGTCAGTGAGTAATGTGTCGGAAAATGTTCCATCATTTTCAGAGTGACGTCTATTTGGTGGTTTGAGCTCCAACCTTACTCTTCCAAAGTTTGGTTTGTGAGTTCCCTTTTACCTTTGAAATAATTCCCCCCCCCTACATGAAAGTAGGTAGAAATTTTTCCTTTTCCTGGAGGGCTGTATCAATTCTAATTTCCTACTGAAAGACATAAATATTGAGTGAAGGTTTCAAAAGGGAGCATTTTATCCTGTGTTTAGATACATTAATTAGGTGTACATGTATGTTAACACCTATTTTTGTGACAACCATGTGGTTCATGTTGAAGATGATGCTGAATTAGGTACAAAAGAAATTAAACTTTCAGAGCATGAAATCCCTTGAACTTTGATATGTTTTTTCCTTTCTCTGCACATTGTCACCACATATATCAAAATACCTTTGCTGTGGCTGACTGCTTGTCTTTTGGTGTCAACCCTTTCTTTGTCAAAAGTATTTTAACTCTCTTATTAATGGTGCAGTAAGCTTGTAAGCTCCTTTCATTATACATCTTGCTGCTTCTGTATTTGGTTGTGACAATTGTCTACAATTATTTCATTAAAACTGACCCTGACAAGATTTTGTAAGACTTCTGTCATCTCCTTTAGCTGTGCTATTTCTGATACTTCAGTTTGCGAAGACCTGTCTTGACTGAAGTAACCAACACGGACTTGGTCTGCAATGGATGGTCTAAAATAAAGTTATTGAGAAGATGAGATGATTATGTACAAAGACACACAGGAAGAAGAAACAGCATCAGCCTTTCCATGTGTCAATTAACAATTGGTTCATAAGTCACATGCGTTCATCAAGATATGAAGCACGCGGGAAGTTTGGAGAGCACGAAAGATGCGTAAGAGGCATAGCCAAGAGCAACTCTAGCTTCTCGAGTGCTCTCCAAACTTCCCAAGTACTTCATATCTCAATGAACGCACCCTGATGTATGAACCAATTGTTTTATAACATTTTCAACCCAATGGAAAATTTTTTTTCTTGAGGGATTTGTTTGTTGATGTCATGAGTGTGCACAATAGGAATAAAAAGCATGCTTGTGCAATTGAATTTGATTAGACTAATTTACTAGCTATGTTATAAAGCATTACATTTCATGGATCTGAAAATCCTACACATGCAACTAAAGTTTTGGATAGAATTCTGCCTTTACAATGTACATACATCAAATTGGTAGTAAGAAAGTTGGAAAGAAGGCCAAGACATTCTAAAAAATTGAATGTTGTTTTTCAACCAAAAATTTTCTCTTTCTTTAGCTGGTTATCAGCCTGGGAAAAGATATAATAAAATAATCTTTCTCAAGACAATCAAGCACAAAGGGAAACTGCAAAATCTTGTGGCAATTTTCAGCTTCCTGGATTGTTGCTAAGAAATTTGGCCGCTGGCTAAGATTTTAAGTGAGGCAGCTCAAAGATGGTTTAACTTGACACCCAGCCTGAAAACATCATTTGATTCCCAAAAATACTACCTACCATTTCAACCACCGCCTTTTGCCATTAGTCAGCACTTAGCAACACCCCAGAGCATCTAAAAGTTAATTTTGAGGCAAGGAGTAGGAGGGACTTATCAGAGAAGGGGCTTAGATGGGAGACTTGCATTTATAGCACACAGATATGACTCTAGAGATCACTTTTAAAAAGTCAGCCACAGTATCAATAAATAAAAACTATTTGCCAAAGTGAAGGTGGCTAGTGGTGGATATTTACTGAGCCACAAGGTGGCAAAGTAAATATTCACTGCTAACTGCTAACACTGAGGTGAATAGTAGTTTTAATAAATACTAAAATAGTGCAAAAATATAGCACAAAAACATTATTTACCCTCTATATTCCTACATCAATTACAATATTTTCCGGCAAAATCCTGCCTGAGTTGCTTGGAGGTGAACAGCACAGGATTAATTCATAGTTTGAGTAGCCAATCAGAATGCACTCTCAGTGCTATATCCACTGGTTATAGAATATACTAATCCATATCGTTTTCATATACAAATTATGTATTTGAACTACTCTACAATTGACAGAATCTGTCCTCATTTTTCCAGCCAATTTTGCCACCATTTCAAATTATCTCATCAGTGTGACAGTCAAAGGCATTGACAACATTAAATATAAAATGCAACACTTTGTCATATTTAAAAAAGGAATGAAAAAGGAAAAGCATATTCCTCTTGCTGCTTAACTCCTTAAGTATTATTAATTCTCTTTATAGCTTCAATATGTATTTGAGCATCCTAACAAGATCTTTCCTCAAAATTTGTATTATCCATCAGTCTGTAATTATTCATTTTCCTACAGTAATATATTTTTAACTCACTGCTTGGTTTTCCCATGCGAGGGAGGAAAGACTTAAAAGCGTTCTCAGCCAATAGATAATTTAAGTTTACAGGCGTGTACATAATACTCAAATCACAGCAGGTGTTATCTTAATTTTTGTGTTTCTGCCCCTTTACATGGATCCGCTTCACAATACTCGAACAATCATCCAGCTAAAGGGCTGTTAAAAATCTACAGATACATTAATGGACCACTGAACGGCCTGAAAAAAAATCAGCTTATATTTCCCTGTGATCTTTCCCTTCTCGAGTTGGAAAATAAATTATCAATAATGATCTGGTTCGTCGCCATCGATTGTTGCGATTCGTCAGTCACGGATATCAGTGCGGAGGATTTAGAAATCGGTTGTAAATATCGGGAAAAGAAAAATACTTCATCTCTCAACAAGATTCTCTAACAAAACATAAATAAAGAAACGGAAAAATAAAAAGAGGTTCTTGAGGTTTTCGAGATTAAACGACCCATTGATGACGCAATGAAAGAAATAAGAAGTCGGAGTTTTTGGATCTGTATATAATACTAAGCTTGAAATGTTTCGACATCAAAAATGTTTTCAGGTTTGAAAATGAAAATCTGGGTTACATTACCTGACCAAAAAGAACGGAGTAGCTTATCAGAAGTCAAGCCAAGATATGGTTGATTGAATTATTTTCTGTTAAAAAGCAGCTGTAAAAAGTTATTAAATAAATGTACAACCACGATCAAGAGTCGCACTCGACGGAAACCAAGGATAAAATAATTCAAATCTACCTGTATTCATCCAGTTCCATTAACGAACCAGGGAAATTCATGAGTGCAGGAGAAATAGATCCTGGTCTTGACGAAACACTTTTCCTAACTGTAGGTGACATTTCAGGCGTTTGGATCGCCTTCGGCCCTGCCGCCATGTCTTGTTTTCTTTTGAACTTGCCTTAGTAACCGCGTTCAGCTCGTAATGTAGCCAAGGGTTACCCAAAGGGGAGGGGTAGATCGAACAGGCTATACGCTATTTTTTTGGCGCGTCGTAACCACCAAAAACAGAGAGAGAAAGATGAAGGAAAGGGGAAAAAAAAAAAAAAAACAAAAAACCGGGGAGGTGTAGGCATCAAAATTGCCTTGGTATGTCATAAAGGGGACTGGAGAGCTAAAGGCTTGGCAAATGTAAATATCTCATGAATTCTGTTGTTTCTAGTTGCTTTGATTTTCAAGATCCTGCTATTTCTTTTCCACGAATCGAACAATACGCAGAACGGATAACCTTTTCATTTCGAGTGTCATTATTAATGTTTTTTAGATAAGGTATGCGTAAAGATTTAATGACTCCGAAGATTTTTTATTATAATTTTTGGCAAAATATATTGTAACTAACAATCAGTTGAATGACTACGTGAGTGATCTTCGCATATACGATTTTCATCGATATCCACAGTCACTTAAACAGATATATGGTTTTCATCGATATCCATAATCATTTAAACATTCCGTTAACCGCCATCTGGTTAGCTCAAACTATTGGTTAGACCCAAACCGGACCCAGTCTTCTTAAAATAACTGGATAATGGACGAAAACATCTGCAAGCGGTTAGACATTCCTTCTCGGATCCCGTGCCCCATCTCTTCTTCTCAGTACTGGTTGGTAGGGGACATTAAAGAACCCACACACTTATCGCAAAGAGTAGGAGACGTAGTTCCCGGTGTTGTGGTCTGCCCTTAGTTCTGAAATCGGGGGCATCTGCTAAATCTCCTTCAAAAAAAATTGTAAAATGTTCAATGCAGTCTGACTAAAGGCGCATTTGATCATATTCCAATGTTAATTTGCGCCTAATAAGCAATAAATTATTATTATTATTATTATTATTATTATTATTATTGTTATATCATCATACATGGTTAATAGCCTTTATACCATGCTCTACAAGTATGGTAAGTGTATATTGTACGTAACATTCCGTTTTTTTATAGTTCTTATAATAAAGTTGGGAAGATTTGTCTATATTTTGGGGAATTTTTAATTAAATAATTATTCCACCCGCGCTTTTTGGATATATAAACAATAACCTCTATTTAGCGCGAAAATATGTGCGGATATTTGTGCGCGAACATTATCTGTTTCTAGATGCTCAAAGTTTTCCGACAGCTAAGCTCGAGAAAAACTGTGAGCTTCGAGGAACAGATAATGCCCAAAAACAAATATACGAGCATGTTTTCCAGCAAAATATATATAGGCTATTGAATTAATTATCGTTCAAGTATTTTGCAACGCGCATGCAAGTATTTTGCAACCTGGGGGGTGGGGGTTGGGTCGGAGGGTTTTGAATGTGTCACATGATTAAGCCCCTTAGGGTCTGTGGTATTCCAATAAGCCCCCCCCCCCACTCGCCTCATTGGCATTCTACTTTCTGTAGTCCCAGTTTTTTTACTCTGTCACTGCAACGATGACTGATTTCCCTTCCCACTCTCCGTGAAAACCATGTGATTCCCCCATAATTCTCGACTCCCCCCCGTCCCAGGTAAGGCGACAGATAATAGGGACCTTAAGCAGTCAGGACGGCAACGCCAAGGAAGACTTCGATTGAAAAATGAATTTCTGCCTTTAATTAGAATTTCAAAAATGGCTGCATTTGTTTACCGTCTCATACGGCGCCACACCTCAACTTCAGCATAGCGTATAAAAGAAGCGTTGAGTTAAAATAATTTGCCGTCGCGGTTTCGGTTCGCAGGCGATGCAAATTGTGATGATTTCACGTTGCTGTTTTGCATAGGACGGCTAAGAAATGTATAAAGTTTTAAAACGCACGTGTCGAGCTATTGTTCTGCCAATTAGATCTTTTGTTTTTCCATGTCCTTGTTGCCGTCGCCGACATGGTTTGCTTAAGGTCCCTAATGCCTGGTCACCTAGGTGATAAATAATGCCTGGTCTCTTAGGTGATTCACTTGAATTACCAGAAATTCTGTGAACTGCCCTCTGAGTCATTCGTAAGCGAAGATTTTCTTTCAATCGAGCTAGCAAGAAAAGTGAGCAAGCAAAAAAAAAACCAGTTCTTTGTGACGTAAGGAAATATGTAAATGGAAATTTGATGTTAAAACACCTGGATATGCTTGTTAGCTGCTTACAGAAGACTAATTGTATTTTAATCTTCAGAATATCGACAAAGTTGACATTTGTTTATATAAGTCAGCTGTTAAAATGCAACGTTTTTCCCTCCCCTGATACCATCGCGCACTTCAAGTTTAAGAGAGGGAATAGGATTTTCCTCGATCGCTTTAAAATAATTTCCGACATTATATCCCTCCCTAATTCGATTTGAAAGAGGTGTAAACTTGTCCAGTTGGTGCGAGTAAGATTTTTTGTAATTGCTTCTGCTTATAAAAGCAAGGAATTTATGCCGCGTGTATTCTATTGAGTATTTACATGCGATGCAAATGTTCGACATATATTTGAAGATATTTGGAAATTATTTTACTTTCTTAGCTAGCTTATTCAAACCCTGAGTACGAAAAATTCAAAGTCCAGAGCTAAATGTTACAACGAAAAAACAATATGTAAAAGAGACCTTTTGAGTGCATAATGAAAATTTAATTTAGAGAAAACGTGATATTTGCATTTTAGGACTAATGACGGAATGATTTTCATACCAATTTACCAGTGTCGACACAAGGCTAACAGGACTTAGCTTGGGTTTCAAAGGCGCAGTTTGCTGTTAGCTCGATAAGTCGATTATTTGGTTTAAATACAGCTCGTCATTGCAACAAAGAAATTTCATAAAGAGGGATTGACATTTATGGGCCTTTTGGTGAAAAGGCAGCCCCAGGAAAACGAAAATGTCCAACGCTTTTAATTTCGTATTCGTCAGTATCTGTGTACTTGAGGCAGTCGTAATCATTGTTGGAAACGCTCTCACCTTCTGTGTCTTCTGGTCTCAAAGACCACGTCTCAAGGGAACTTATTATATTTTAATGAACCTCGCTGTTTGTGACTTTCTGGTGGGATTAACAGAGACTATTATTCTAGCATGCTCGGAAAAGTTTCGGGAAACTACTGCACCAAACCGTAGTAGAGGAGAAAACGGTTATGGTTTTTGGCAGGGATTCCAGACCTTTTCCTCTATCACGTCGGTGTTTTTTCTTGCACTAATTTCGCTGGAACGGGTTTACGCTGTGTTATATCCTCTGCGCCACCGCGTAGCAAACACAAGTGCTTATATTTACAGTATCATTGTTGTGTGGGCACTCGGAATTTGCTTGGCTGGGATAATTTTTTTGAAAATCTACTACGCAAAAGTAAACGAGATAGCTTTTGTTTTATCGACTCACTTGAGCCTATTTATTGCTCTGCTGATTACCTGTGCCAGTTACATCACGATACGCTATCGATTGCGCAGAACAGCATCATCATCTGAGTTAGTAGAGGGCCGTATCCACAACCAATTCAGTGTAGAACACAGCTTGCGTCTTTCCAGAACACTTCTCGTGGTAGTTGCTGTGTCGCTGATTCTTTGGCTACCGGCGTTTTTCGTGTATACCGCGAGAGTTTTTTGTCTGAGATGCATTCCTGAACCTGCAGTATGGGTCGTAAAAACCTTGCATTTGGCAAACTCCATGGTGAATCCATTCGTTTACAGCTTTAAGATGACGGTTTTTAAAGATGCATTGAAAAAAATGTGGAGAAAACGAAGAGCAAACATTGAAATTGTAAGACCTGTTTCTGTAGAATTGCAGTGAGGGCAACTCTCCCGGTGGTTTCAAGAAAGTATCAAAATAAGATCTGTTTGATCAAGGTTTCTTAGACGTATTACGCAAGTTCCAGTATAAGCGTTCTTCTTTCTTTCATGTAACTAGTCAAGTTCCTCTCGAATTCAACAGTGAATTTACTGGCGCGCATTTACTGAACTTTGCATTTACGGAAAGCAATCTTCCTTTCGTATTTTAGATTCCAATCAGTCTTCTAAAATCTAGTCCTGGTTTCTCTAAAACGAAGCTTTGTTTTCAACCGCATATAAGGACCTTGTTACCTTTTTTGTCTGATGTTCAAATTTTACTGTTTATTTTTCACGGTATTTAACGTATAACTTCAACACGGAATTAACCACGGAATCTCCCTCCTTTAGTTCTTAGCAGTTTTTTAAATTTTTTATAACAAATCATCAAAGAAACCGGTTGTTATTTATCTTCAGGACAAGGAGGAAGGGGGGGGGGGGGGGGGGAATAAGGTCAGGGCAAAATCTGGCTCTGTAATGTTCTAATAATTCCTCCCTCATTGGCAGTCAATTTCCTAAAATCCCTTATACTCTGTTGGCGACGACTGATCCCCTCTCTGTCCCCCCCTGAAAACCATGTGATTCTCACCTAAATCCTAAGACTCCCCACGAAGACTATTCCCTTACCTATCTCGTACCCAGATCCTACCGCGTAAGTGAAATGTAGGATCTTACAACCGCTTGGCCGTGGAAGGTTTGGATACAAGACGAGTCCCTCCCTTTCTTGAGGCTGAATATGTTAACTAATCTAAACGTGTCTATTTTCCTTAAGGCATGTCCTTAAGGAGTCATCAGTTGAGGTGTGCTGTAAGCCTTTTTAAAACCTCTTAGGGTAGCTAGCATCTAATTTCTGCTCACGCTATTACTGGCGAATCAAACATTGAGGTTATGAGAGTAACGGAAATTATTACCAGCAGCTGAACGCTATTAGCTTGGTTCTTAAACAAATTCTCTAAGTCGTTATAAAGTAAATGAATAGAAGATGAAGAGTATTGAAAACATGCAGAGTAAATTTACAGTGTCATGGGTTAAGGAACTGTCAAAGGTGAAGTTAGAAGGTAAACCTAAGAAATTGTTTCTTTAAGTTAAGCACACGTATTGCGGAAGCGCCGTGTTCTTAATCTTGGATGTGGTTTCACTGGGATTGATTCAAAATGAAACAGCAATCGAAAATAAAAAAATAAAAAAACAAAAAAAAAACAAGATGGTGTGATGTCATACATGCGTAATGAGGCCAGTGATTTTGAAAAACAGATCTTGAAGGAGTCTGTTGTTATTCCATCTTCGAATTCAGCGATACAAGTATCATATGAAATGGCAGCGATAACTACTGGCAGGGGGGAGGGGGTTAAGTAGTCTCTTGCCCAGACCTTCCACGGCCCTACAATTAAAGTTACACGAGAGGATCTGGGTACGAGATAAGGGTTTTAAGAGAACATTATGAGCTTCCCTTCGGTTATACTTAACCCACCTGAACTCAGCCCCCGCAAGTGGAAGGCGTCTGGAGGATTGACCTTATTTCCGTACCACAAGGGGGAAGAAAACTCCATAGATGATTTTTGTTAGTCTCAGCATTTCGAAAATTTCCAAAGGAAAAAAAAACTTGGCTACTTTTAACGTATTATAAAAGCTAATCAGGTTAAATATAACGGCTTCCGTGTACAGTTAGGCTAAGCCTATGCAAACAGGAAGCAAAACAAAAAGAATAGAAAAACAACATCTGTGCACCTGCCTCTGCGTCCGTTTTTGATCTTTAAATTGATTGCCTTTTGGCATTCAATTTTAGAAAGCTGGCATGTGTTTGATTAACAACGACTTTTGTTTTAAAACGTTTGTTCTCCGTTGTTGGAGAAGTAATGAGTTTATTAATTGCACTTGGGTGTATTTTTTCGATGATGAGATGATATATAATGGATTATTCTGTGACCAACTTTCGCTTTGAGCGTTTCATTATTTTGCTAATAAGTAATTCTAATATTTTAATCTCCAGGAATGTATTTCCACTCTTTCCACGTACACATCTAGTTTACGTGATGTAAAATCTTTCTTGTTGAACCATAATTCGTCGCTTGAGTTTAAACCGAGTGTTTGTTTAGTTTTGCTATGCTCCTGTCAACAGAAGTTTCATTGTTTGTGATAGGCGTGGTTCGCCAACCTGTATTGGAGACTTTGAAGAACCTTTAGATAAATAATAATTTCCTTATTCTGTTCATAATTGTTTACACAAAATTTCTTGTAAAAATAAGGGACGAAAGTGTTTCTACTGAAAATTTATCGGCCTCTGGGGAAGAAACAGCAGAAAGACAAAATGTCCAAGGAAGTCGCTTTGATATTCATTGCTATCTACGTAGTTGAAGCAGCAATCATCGTCATTGGAAACACTTTCACTATTTTTGTCTTTTGGACTCAACGATTCCGTCTTAAACGAACTTGTTACCTTTTGATTAACCTTGCAGTTTGTGACTTACTCGTGGGAATAACAGAGCCGATCATTCTCGGTGTCTCAAAGTTCCAAGGAATGACTGCAGCTGGACGAAGAAAAAAAGGGAATATGAAGAATTTGTGGAGCCTTTTGTTTACGTCTACCCAAGTCCTCGCCTTTTCCACGTCGGTGTTTTTCCTAGCGCTTATCTCGCTTGAACGTGTTTATGCAGTCTTGTGGCCTCTTCGTCATCGCGTAGCAAAGACATCTCTTTACATTTCCAGCATTATTTTAGTTTGGGCCGGTGGACTTTGTTTGGGTGGAATGTCTTTGATGGAGTTGTACTACCCAGCTGTAAAGAGAAGAAATGTCGTTGTCGCCACTAGCATATCTCTTTTCATTTCTCTGGTGATTATTTGTGCCAGCTACTTCACGATCCGAACTCGATTGCGAAGTAGGAAACCAGCATCTGGATTAATGGTCCAGCGCAACCAACAGTTCGTAGAAAAGAGCTTGCGACACTCAAGGACATTTTTTGTAGTAGCTACTGTGTCGCTGGTTTTTTGGCTACCAGCATTTGCTGTGAACATTACGAAAGAGTTCTGCTTATGCTTTCCTGCACCAGTGATTTGGTTTGCAAGTGCTCTGCGTTTGGCAAACTCTATGGCAAATCCGTTTGTGTACAGCCTGAGGATGCCTCTTTTTAAGGATGCATTAACAAAGCTCTCGAGAAGGCGTGAAAGAAACTTTGAACTAAGATCTGTCCGCAAAAGTATCGCTGCAAACGTGAATCAAGGGCCATCTGAAATGTTGTAGTATAATAAGGGTGTAGGAAATTTTTTTGGAAACTTTTTTGAAGCCCGTAATTTTATTTCGTGTCAGAGGCCCGTTTCTCGAAGGTCCCATTGACTTCGCAGGCCCGTAGAGCTGTTCTGTTTTCATTCAGGATGGGTCTTCAAAAGTTTTAAAAATCATTCGATGAAACTGTTAACTAAACGAAAAGAATGGAGTAGTTAAAGTGCCAGAACCGTCTTACCTATTCTTTAAACTTGAATCTCAAAATATGTTTTCTAGGGCCCGTTTCTCGAGAGTCTCGGCAAGTTAACCGGCCTGCAAAGTTGTTCTGTTTACATCCAAGATAGGGGTTACCAAAGTTTTGAAAATCATACAATTAATTAAACAATCAGCCAATGAAACAAAATGGATTGGCTCAGGTGTCAGAGCCAACTTCACTATTCATTAAATTTTTACTTTAAGTTACCGGGACTTTCGAGAAACGGGCCCATGAATTAACTCTTGATAAACTACAGAATTATTCGCGACTCACCATCAAAATTGGGAAGAGACCCCATTCAAAAAGATATTGATCGCGGTTACATCTACAAATATTTTTTAATAGATAAATCGATCGTTAACTATTATGCTTCATTTCTTTAGCTCACCTAACAGTCATTTCAAATTGCATATTAATGTTTTCCCAATTTCGCGAACACTTTGAAGAGCAAACGCTAAGCTCGAGAGACTGGTGATGAGTAGAAACGACAGTCCATAGTACCTCCCTCGTTTTCGCACCTAAATGAGGAGCGTTAATCTCCAATGGAAAATCTACATAAAAGAACTGTTACAATTTTGGGCATAGGTGTAACGAGAGCGAGAATCCGCAAATTTCTTTCTTTCAAGTTTGTACAAAATTTCGTAGAAGTTTCCTTAAAACAACCTAACATCTTTCGCGGTGTTTTCAACAACATTTTCCTCGGAAAGAGAGAAAAAATCATCTGCCAATTATGTAATTTCGCTTTTGGTAAGGAAGAAAGGGGAGTTTGTGGCGCTGGCATTGAAAAGACTCGTGGGAAAGTTCTTGCGTAGACGTCCGAAATTATTTTGACACACTAACAAACTTTCAAGTAAAGATAACAAAACCCTCATGATATCCTAAGCTTTCTTTTTAAGTTTTCTGGTATGGTCTGCATAGACAAGATCAAATTTTCACAAAAAACTTGATTGATTCATTAAAATTTCTCGCGTTTTTAGACAAAAAGAAAGGAAGGAATGTAAAAAAGCAACGCGAAATTAAATTTTGAAATCTAGTCACTCGAAATCCTGATTTTTTTTTCAAAATTTGGATGATTTCCTCATTTTATTTTGCATTAAAAATTAGAGAAATTCGTTTTTAATGTGTTTACTTTTTAATTCTTTGTGTATAATCACCTCTGTAATTATAATTTTTCCGCAGTACGAATCAAAATTCATTGTTATGCAGGAAAGATCACGAAACGAAGGCTTCATTTCCATATTTTTCGGCTCTTAATTTTTTCTTCAATTTTCCATGTTTTCATCATTTTCATGTTATCTGGACGAGAGAGAAAGGGAGAAGACAAAATTACATTTGTGACCATCAATCATTTAGTGATGTAACATCCTATGTGCACTATTCAAAGTACAACGATGAAATCTCTATTTCCTCCTTAGAAGTGCCATCTTTAGCATGTTCTGGCGGCTTTTGCGTGCAATAAACAGTGAATTTTGCCATATATACTATAATTACGGAAACGACTGGTAAACGTAATAGAACATGTTTCTTTCGAGGGTTTAGTTAATAACTTTTGAAGCTCTCTCCACTTTCGGTCGTTTTTATTTCGTTCGTTTTAATTTCGGTCGTTTTGATTTCGGTGTACCCTTTCTCCAAGCCATTAACGAGACAGGCCAAGTAAAATTACCGACTTTGAGAAGCAAAATTACCACAAGGGATTACATTTTAATGTTTTGCTTTCCTGGTAATATCCCTTTAAACAAGCCTGAGATTAGCCGTATTTTTAGTTGAAGCGCTAAATCGCAAACACATACAGAAAAAAATTGATAGTGTGGTATGTTGAGTAATATTTCATGGTAAATAAAGCTAAGGATTGACTAGTTTCGTACGCAGCTTAAATTTATAGTAGTTACCACCGACAAAGTGGATAGCAAAAGAGAAGGATTAGGGATTCATTAAATGTCGGTTTAGAATAAATTGATTTCGTGGTCATTTCGGTTCACTTATCGTTTGTAGGCTTTATTTCAGCTCTTTCGCACGCAGCAATAAAGACAGCGCAAGCCGAAATTAATTGAACTTTACTTGGAATTAAATAGAACTATTTATGGCGGTTTCATTAGTCGCAAAATACATTTATAAAAGCGGTTACGCATGGAAAGATTCGCTCAATAATTTTGTCGATGAGAAGATATTTCGTACAATATACTTTCCCTGTTAAGCTCTTATCCGCTATTTTCGAAGTCGATGTTTTAGAGTATCATGTACAAACCTTAGTTCCTAAAGGTCTTTGACTCTGAGATTGACTCAATCCGTATGGTAAGAAAAATCCGTATATCTTATACAAATGGTTGTTACTTAGCTGTTACTTTTTTTAAAAGCATGAAGGGACTGCTAATAGTAAAAAAAAATGATGATCCAACTGCTCCGACAGGTACTTGAAAAAGATGATATTTAAGGAAAAGAAACATTCTCTCCTTATGCACGTAAAAAATTTAGGCAGCCCAAGGTCATCGCAAAGTTGTAACAAATTTCGTCCGGAGAATATAACACGATCAGATCCAGAGGCTTTCCCGATTACAAGATCTGAGAAAATCTGCAGGTAAATATCAACGATCGAAACTAAAAGCTCTAATTTTCGAACCCACTGTGGAATACAAGAATATCGTAAGATTTTCCCCGTGAAACACATTTACATTTACAGTATTTGGTTGATTTCGTACGCTTCCCAATGAGACTATTATTTAATTTTTGTGATGGAACAACTAGAGGCTAACTCGATAACTTTAGAATTTCTCAGTGTGTTATAAGGATTTTCTTAAATTATTTATACGATAGTGAATAAAGTATATACGAAAAAAACTGTCAATTCAGTTTTAACACGAAATAACGGATCTAACATTAAAATGAAAAAGTATTTTAACTTGATGAGCTCATAATTTCATTTTACATTAAGGTTCAGGTGGTTTTGACCTGAAAACATGTTTCTTCTTTTTTTTTTTTTACAGCTACAGGTTACAAAGTCAATCCTAGCTGGATTTCACTCTCAAGGGAGAGATCATATAGCTGCCGTTGAATTACAGAGGTATAGTAAGGCATTTAGCCAGAAAAACTTGAGGAAGACCACAGCTGTCTATTAGTTTAATTAGTAGTAAAAAGACGAAAGAGGGAAAATTTTAAAGGAGTTGTGTTGGTGTTTTCAGGTGTGCAGTTATGGCCAATAACTTGACCCAGCTTCCATACCAAGCATGTCTTGTCCAGAATATTCCACAGGAAACCCAGCATCAACTGCGAGACTTCACCAACTACGGTGTCCGACCAATGGGCATGCTCTTGGCCGTAATTGGGTTTTTTTGTAACGCGCTCGTGGTGTTCACCGTAACGCGAAATAGATCGTTGCAAAGTCCTTCATTTTTGATGCTGTGTAGTTTATCAGTAACTGACTTGTTGTATACCTCATATTCTATCTTTAGAGATGTATCGGCGATAGCCGACAAATACATGTGCCCACCTTCGGGTGGTTCTGGTGTATCCTCGCGCTTATCTCACGCGACATCTATTCTGTGTTTGTATGCCACGCTTGCAAACTTGGCATTGATAAGTAGAGATCGATACCTAGCAATCAGAAAACCCTGGTGGTATCGCAATAACGTGACTAGATACCGTGCTATTGTCAAGATTCTCGTAACATGGGTGATATGTATTTTCGCGGTACTTCTGGCAGAGTTAGATATGATTCCTTACGGAAATGTTTCTGCTCTTTTATTCTATCTTATTTGCTTCCTTGTTATCATTATCTCTTACATAGGCATATTCTCAAAGAAAATGAATCCCACAGAAACTCAATTGCGCCCTTCATTGGAAAGGGAGAGGAGACTTGCAATCACTGTGGGAATAATCCTCGTGGTGTTGTTCCTGACGTTTCTCCCAGCTCTTATGTCTCCGCTTATTTTGCACCTGTTAGGCATAATGAGTTTAAGCGCTTACAGGCCTTTTTACACATTCTTCCTCCAGCTTAATGCATTCTTAAATCCTTTGCTGAACTTTGGTAGGAGTAAAGACATGCGCACAGGGCTAAGAAATCTAATTAAACTTTCTCGCCAAATTCAGCCCCAGGCCGGCTCTTTCAACCGAGGCCAGAATCCACATACTTCTGATTCTGCTACCATGGCAACGGAGAGAGCATCTTAAGGAATTGAGAAAGTGATCCTTTCTATAAACTGGAACTTGTTAATATTAATGCTATGAGGTAAATGACTGTACAGCGAATTAATTATAACTTGAAATAGCGAGGGAGAGCAAGAGTTACAGTTCTTTAAGAAATCAAGTGGGTTTCGTTAGGTTTCCTTAAAAATGCAAGGAGTGGGGTAAATTTGGAGTGAAATAATGTTTAATTTCAGGTTGTTTTAGGATATGTGAAGCTTTCCTATAGGTAGAGCAAGAAGTGTTCTTCCCATTACTGATAAACTACTGAGAGATCAATTGTACATAATTATGGGAAAAAAATCAGATAGATACTACAAATTTGCATAAACCGAATCCGTGCGCAGGAAAAAATGTGCATGAATCATTCCAGAGAGAGAGAGAGAATGGTTATTTTGAGGTTGTTTTGTATAAGAATCAAGGCTACCCGGGGTTTCTACCGAAAGGTACTTTGAACCATCAGGAATAGAAATTTGATATTTTTGGGTATGGATGAACAAAAGGAAAACAAGGAAATCAGTTGTGACATAATTTAACGAGTGCAGCATAATCTGATTAAACGTAAAATGGAATTCTAGAGACCTCT